AGCTTCAATGCCGCTCAACGAAATGCACACCTTGGCAAGGGAAGAGGCCGAGGTTAATGGAGGAAGCCATGGTGGTCAACTCTGAGGAAGCCGCAACTCAGTTCGAGTGGTTCTCGTCATAGAAGGGGACACTCCAAAACACGCTTCAATTGAGGGTTCAATCGGTGTATACGTGCCACAGTGGTCGGTTCGGTTAGAGGACACCCTTAAGATGGAAGGAGTGGCTGAGTAGCTTGCTCGGGGTGTGATGCTCCTCGATATTAGGAAGGAAGCTAACAGTCACACCAACAACTTCCTAGAGAGTGTTGCTCTTCATCAAGTCATGGCGGTGAGTTTGACTTTACTTGTTCTTCCTTGTTTCTCTTCTTTTGAGCTAATTATTCGATGTCTTGCAGCCGGTTTGTTCAATCATCGGCCTTGTTAATCGCTTATGTGGGTTGCGACAATTTTATGAGTCGTGAGAGATAGAGAATGCCTACTTGATGGCAGAGTTGGCCGAGCTGAAATGCGATGTTGAGGAGAGGAACAACATTGTCCGTAACATAAAGGACTGCATTCACGATCTCAAGGAGGTGTGAGATGTGCTAAGGAGGGGGCTCGAGGAGGCCGAGGCAAATATTGCTTTGGTGAAGGAGGAGGGTGTCTCCGAGTATAGGGCTTCAGAGGCTCATCAGAACGAGTTGGACGACTATGCTACTGACCCCTGGCATGAGGGATTCTCTCTCTACCAGTGAAGGGTGATGCATCAATTCCCGAAGGTGGCCGAAGTTGTTCAGGGGTTCAAGCCGTTTGATGCCAAAGAGCCTAATGGTGGGGATACCGTTATTGTTGACGCCTAGGAGCGAGTCGAGGATCCCCCAGCAGATAGTTGATGTGCTCTATTCTTTTTMTTTGTTGTGTACAGCTCGATATKCCAAGCTTACAATCATTGTATTAACTTTTTCATGAATGGAAATTTGGTCTTTTTACCGAGCTTTTTATGTGTTATTTTCCCTTATTTTTTGTTGTTGTGCTTCAGAGTTAGGTTGGTCGGTAGGGACCATAGGCCGTGCTTTTGTACTTGGCTCTTGGGCTAGTGGGAGTTTCAAACTCTACGATGTGGCCTCTGTCTCATACTGGTTGAGGTCTTCGATCTTCGTTGGTCGAGGTCTTTGGCTTAGTGGCCTCAATCTTTGCTAGTCGAGGTCTTGGACTTGATTCTAGATGGCCAACTTTCTTAACTTTGTGGCCTCGATCTCATATTGGCCTCGGTTATCGATCTTCACTAACCAAGGTCTCCGGCTTAGTGGCCTCGGTCTTTATTGGCTTCGATCTTYAGTGGTTGAGGTCTTGGACTTGATGCTAGATGGTCGGGTTTCTCAATTTCAGGGCCTTGATCTCATATTGGTCGAGGTCTTTGATCTTCTCCGGCTCAGTGGCCTCGGTTTTATGTTGGTCGAGGTGCTTCCAAGCTCTCAACGTTGTTGGGGAGCTCGGTGGCACCTGATCTTGGAAAGCTTCGTGCTCTTTGGTTGGGTTAGTTGTGGTCCTCGATTAGCTATGCTTCAATTGCGAATTGGGTGGGTGCGCAGAGTTTGACGACCATCCTCTTGCCATTATGTGGTGGGGATGCCTGCGATGCCCRTCGAGGGGCTTATTCTGGCCTCGACCGTATGTGGTTGGTCGGGTCTTTCGTTAGGTAGCCGTCGCGCTATGGTTGTTGGTCAACACGAAGTTCATCCGTTGGAGTTTGGTCAGGTTGTATACGTGCATTTGGTCATTTATGCTTGAAGAGGATTCTTTATTTATTAAATTTGTATAGTTCGGTTGTTGTTAGTGCTCAGTGCCGATCGTCATTGGTACATTTTAGTCCAAGCACTCCAACTCCTCAGGGTAGGTCTCCAGTGCCTAGTTTCCCATCTTAAGGACTATCTTGTGCATGATGATGGCGATGACCCCGACTGGGGGAGTTCGGGCTGGGGCTCGTAGGCGCGGTGCAATTCTTTTCTAGGTTTGTGTTCTTTGATGTTGATGAATCCACGAAGATATCTGTGTCAAACGAGGTCTTCCAGGTGGTGGCGAAGGTCGTGGTTGTGGTCATGGTGGAAGTCACAAAACTTGTCTCGATTTCTCTTGTAGGTTGTAGCCCTGGGTTTTCATATTCTCGGGCCACTTGATGAAGTTGCGGTTGTGGATTTGCATCAACATGTGAGCCGATGGAGCATTGAGTGGAGTGAAGTTGTGATACGCCGGTGGCGGAGTCCTTGGTTTGCAGTCAGGTCGGTGGTCTAGCCTCTTGGTGTCTCGGTCTGGTCTTCAACCATCGTGGTCTCTACTTTTCCGGTTGTGCTAGTCTTCATCCTTCTAGTGCAGCGCTTAGGCCTCTTCGGTGTTCATATACTTCTATTCGTGCTTCATGAGCATGGTCAGGTTGGGTAGAGATTCTTTTGCAAAGAGAAGCTTAACATTGAGGAGTGTATCCCACTCACGATGGCGGTCATGACCACCAACTGGTCTAGAGTTCGGATTTGAAGGCCCTCTGCGTTGAACCTCTAAGTATTCCCTCAAGGTCTCTCATTTCCTTTGTTGCACTGGCATGAAGCTGGCTGATGTCTTCTAGTGCCTTTGGCTGGCAGTGAACTGTGCCAGGAATTGCGTCTCCAACTACTCCTATGAACCGCGGAGGAAGGGAGGCGTGCTAGGTTTTGGCGACTCCGTGGAGGGTGGCAACAAAGGCCTTGCACATGAGACCTTCGGAGGAGCCATGCAACATCATTTTTGCCTTGAACCCCTCAATGTGGTCAATGGGGTTTGAGATTCCATCATACTTCTCGAACTGAGGAGGTCGCCATCCGGCTGGGGGGAGCTCATCAACAATCTCTTAGACAAAGACGGGCTATTGACTGTGGTGCTGCTCTGTTGGTCGAGCCGTCAGAGGGGCAACGATTTTATCCACTTGGTTGCACTCCAGTTCAACCAACCACTCTCTTAGTTCTTTGATCTTGACATCTTTGTTGGCTGGGACCACATCCGTGGACTTCTCCCCTTTGGGATTGCAGGTCGATCTCGGACCAAGCTGGATTCAGCTATCGAGATTAGTGGTTGCTGTAGACATTGGCCGAGCGGTTCCTTCACTGGCACTCGAGTGGAGTGATGGGATCTAATGCAGACGTCGTGCGCATGAGGCCAAGCTAAGGAGTCATATCTTCTAGATGGTTACGATCGTTCGCGATCGGATTGGGCTCTGTATCTGTTTGTGTGGCGCCTTTTGGGGTCCTCGGTGTGAGGATCGGATATAGTAGGCACTTGCATGGCAAGGTGAGTGGCTTGGGGGGCATGAGCTAGTTGCCCTAGTGTCACGATCATGGGTAGGATACGGTTGACCTTCTGCTACATGGCTTGGAATTACCGCGGTCTTTGATGCTAGGGCACTCCTTAGCTGTGCTCTTTCGTCACACGATGTCGACGTGGCTTGAGAGAGAGGACGGATGCAGAGGTTGCCACTTGACATCCTTGGCCAGCTCAACCATCATCCAAGCAAAAACATGCTTTAATTTGTACTTTAACCTTAGTTTGAAAGGAGTATAAATACAAATATGTAGAGTGCAAAACTTTATATTATGTATTACTTTGTATGTAATTGTACTGTACATATTTGCATTTGTACTCCTTCCAAACTGAGCTATATCTTGTCATGACGGGTTATAATATCTTTCTTGTAACATGAGGGAACGAGAGAAACTTATTTGATGTATGTTTTTTTGGTAGGCTATTAGTAGGGGTGAAACTTGGGTTGGTTCGTATAGCATTTTGGAAGAATATTACCCTTCCAAATAAAGTATCAAATTAAACTAAATGTCAAGGTTGCATTTGGTATCGTTGTTATTTTTAATTGCAATGTTTAGATCCCTCAATAAAAATTTGTGATAAAGATATTTTTTTCTTATAAAAAATATTTTGAGTTGATAAAAAATTGATGTTTCTACTCTCAACCAAATGACTAATGATAAATCCCATAAATGCATCTCTCTAGATGAAGTTACTAATTAAATTATATGATGTTACAAGACATATTTCTCAAAAAATTATATTGATGAAGTCCAAAAGTCTCATGGAAAAACCACAATGATATCTTTGATGAGTTCGGATCTCCTGTCCACGAGAACTCTACCCACGTTTATTACAGTTATACATGAAGAATATCTCATCCTCTGCATAGTATTATACAGGGGGAGATGTTACCAATTCACGGGGGATGATGTATTATGAATAGGCGTGAATAGGATTCTCGTGGGCGGGAGATCCGAAATCATCTCTGATTATCTTGTTAAACGTTAAAACGTTAAGGCTCAGTTTGAAAATAATACAAATATAAATATATAGGATATAAATATGTATGATACAAAATATGTACGATACAAAATAATATTTGTATTACAAAAAAGCCTAAAGTACAATATGAAAATACACTTTTAAATATGTAAAACGTGAACGAAAGAGGCCTTTAACGTGGTTCAGTGGTTGGTTGATAACTTGATATATAAATTTGTGCATCTAATACGAGTCTCTCTTTATATATATATATTTATATCTGAAATGGAACAATGAATTGATTTCATTAGTTTGGAAAAAATAATTGGTGTTATTAAGAGCATCTATTTATCCCCTTAATCCACCAGCTGCCATGAAATGGTTTAATAGAGTTGACTTTGAGACTTTCGATTCTTCAAAGTTCTAACCCTTTTTCACGGTTACGTTAAAACTTAAAAAGCGACCCCGTCCACAAGTTCAGAAATTTTTTAGAAAAGGACGCGTGGCCTTATCATCCACCGTGAAAAGGACCATTTGCTCAAAGGAGCAAAGGTTTTTCAACGGCTTTAGATCGAAATGATATCCAATCCAATCCGGCGTGACTGGCTTTTTCGTCAACAGAAGCTGTGCACGGTATTTGACCCGTCCAACGGAAACAGTTACTTGATTAATATCTTGGCGCTCAACTTTCTAAAGAATCTCTCCCTAGGCCTTCCTGATGTATATGGACCCCATAGCCAGTCATTCTTACTGTTCTCCCGTCGTGGACTCCATCTTCATCGCCTCTCCCTATCTATCGTTACTGTACAACAACCAAACCTGCTTTTTGATACTCCAATAAACCAATAAACAATTCAGACGGTCGTTGCCCTAGATTTCTCCACGAACCTTCATCGGTAGTCCGCCTGTAATTCAAGAAACTCTCTCTCTCTCTGGAAGAACACCTGTTCTTTCCAACCTCCATGGAACAGGTAATCTTGTCCTTTGTTTAATCCGCTCCATCCTTTTTTTGTCTCGGTCCCAACTCTGCTTGATTTCTCCTCGTCTCACTCTGAATTGAACTGTGCAAGAAAGCCAGGTAAGCTCTTACAAATTGTCATAAATGGTTGGAGTTCTCATATTTTCTGCTTGGTTTGTTAATTCTTTTTCCTGCTTCATTTGTTTTACTGTAGTTACTGTCCCCGTAAGTCTGATTGTATGGGTCAACTATCTTTTACTTGTTCAAGTTCTGAAATGTTTTTAGAATTACCATGTAACTACGATAGAAATGGTTCGAATTTAGTTCTCCTCATAGTTTCAACTAAAACTTCACGATCTATGGTACTTTTTAAGCATGTTTACTCRGTCAATCCAGAGTTTTGTTTTATTGGCTTTTTTTTTTTAATTTTTAATTTTTTTATTTTTAGTTGGCTGGTATTAAAGCAACTGGGATTTTGTAAATGCTTCGTTTCAGATGACCACTCTACGGGTCTAAAATGGTTAGTTAATGCAGTTGGCGCTTTCACTAATGGGTGTTTCGACACTAAAGATTCATGATGGTACAAGATGGAAATCCAAAAGTCCCAAAAAATAATTCCATGAGTTTAAGATAAGTTGCTAATATGCAAAAAATAGAAAATAGTTATTATCTAAAAACAAGACCAAATACGTTTCAGCCCAAGCTGTACTATTAGCACGGCTGTTGGATCATTGCTATGTCAAAGTGTGCTGAAGTGTGTGTAATGTGCAGGCTCTTGTAACCATTTTGTATTTTGGGGATTCCAATAGCATTTTTTTGCAATTATCCAATATTTCTCATTGGCTATGTTCATGTATTCTCATGTAAACTCATAAAAGCTTAAGTTATTTTTATGGGAGATAAGTAGTTGAGAGGGAACAAAAGGTGTAAAGGTTAAGCACAGGTCCCCTAGACCACATTTGAGTGTTGAATGGTGCCTCAATGCTAGGCACCATGACCTTATGGCATAATATCCATAAGTCTGGGCTTATCTCAAGCTCAAATGTTATATCAGTTACCTTGTAAATGGGACAAAGGCAGGTGGTTCTTTATTATATGTTGCATTTCTAACCTAAACCATGGAAATTTTAATTATCAAATTAAACATATGAATTTGCAATTCATGATATATTTGTATTTTGTGCATATTTATTGAGCTAAAAGGCTTGCATGATTACTGTTAGTTGTTATTGAAACACTAGCTGTTATTGTTCATTTAAGTAGATGATGTAAATCTGTTGTAGTTGCCTGTTCTCGAGAATGTTTTGCCTTTAAACATGTGATATTTATTTTAAAGCTTATGCCTTTTGCCAGGCCTTGCCTTTTGGTACACTTCGCTTTTGAGAGAAGAGAGAGTGGTCCTATCTAGAAGTTGTTCTGCATTTCATGGACTGGCATTATCATGTGGTAGCGATAAAAGGCTGCATCTAGAACATGGAAGGACTTCGGTTTCATTCTTGAGAATTCAAAGGTTGATTCTCTGTATTGAACATTGTTCACTGAACAAACCAAAATGATGAACAGCCGGCAAGAGAAGTTTGTGAGGTTAGTTTCTTTGGAGCATGTGTGTGTACCTTATTCATGTTAATTAGTTTTTAATTCAATATTCTAGTATGTTTCTTGTTTATTTCATGGATTTCCCTCTTTTATTTACTGTTTCCATCTTGACAACTAGTTTGTTATAAGAAAGGATAAACATCAGTCACACTTTGGACTGCATAACAGAGTTGCAAGCTGGTCTATAATGTTTTTTTTTTTTTTTCGATAATTGAAAATGATTTCATTAAACAAGCGGAATAAGATTTTACAAGAATCCTTGGAGAGGCATGAGATGCAGCCTCCCCTAACCATTACAAGAGATCAGAAATAAAATTACAATTCTGCCCAGAATAATGGTCCCTAGTAGACCCCTGTTTAGCAAGATGATCAGCCAAAGCATTTACCTCCCTACCCATCCACTGATATCTACATGTTATGTGCCTTGTTAAACATTTAACTTATTTGATGAGATCCCTATAACTCCAAACTACTGAGTCTGGATTTGACAGCCAGCCCACAATCACCTTAGAATCCCCTTCAATCAAAAGGTTCTCCACTCCTAGTTGATTAGCAATCCAAATTCCCTGTACTGCAGCCAATATCTCAGCTCTTGTAGAGTCCCCTATCCCTATCGGGCCTGAGAATAAGGATATGATGTTGCCATTTTCATTCCTCAATACTCCTCCAATGCCAGATGGTCCTGGGTTACCCTGGCTGTTTCCGTCAAAATTCAGTTTAAAAAGACCTTCTGGGGGAGTTACCCAAAATGTAGTGGCTCTGGTTTTTCTAACCGAAGTGTGTGCTACTGTGTGCAACTGTGGTCTATAATGTTATTACTAGTAGTTTTGTGATTATTTGGTTCCTTCCCATGATGCCTCACTCTTTCTTTATATCAGATGCCCCCCCCCACACACACAAAAAAAAAAGAAAAAAAAATCTAGGGATCCACTTGAACGAGCCAATGAATTCGTTAACGATCATAAAGCTGAGTTCCTAAGGCCAGTTTTCAGAAGAAGGCATCCTATCAGTTACTAGTTTACTACCTGACAGTGTTCTTCCACCATCTCATTATTCTACCTTTTTTTTTTGAAAAAGGTAAAGTATTATATTGCAAAAGGAAACTAGATACACCAGCCCATGTACAATGAGGACCTTAACATTAGGAATTTACAAAAGATCTGATAGATCAGATAAAAAAAGGTCCAGTTTGCAAAAAAGGAATAAGCTGAACTCCAGTGAAAGCTCTTTGTACATTTAACCAGGAACAAAGAAGACCTATAGTTTTGTTCTCGACTGAAACTATGTCATTAGAAAGATTATCAAAAATCTGGCTGTTCCTTTCCTTCTAGAGGGCCCAAAAGATAGCAGCTGGAAAGATCTTCCAAAGCAGCTTGCCACTTGCATTCAGACCCTCAATGGTCCATCCCTGAAGCAGCTGAAGGACTGAAGCAGGAGGACAATAAGAAACATCGAAACAGGAGAGAGCCATTTCCCGAAGCTTCTGAGAGAAGTTGCAGTGGATAAAAATGTAGTTGGAAGATTCAGGAGCTTCCGTGCAGAAAGGGCAGCAGAGACTAGGAAGCTGCATTCCCCTTCTGACCAGCCGATCTGTGGTTATGCACTTATCGAGTGGTGCAGTCCAAACCAGGAAGGCTACTTTATTTCTAGCAAAAAAAGGACTTCCATATTAAATTCCAAGGGAAGTCTCCTTCCTCCTCGGCCACAAGGTGGTTGTAGAAAGACATAGATGAGAAAGTTCCACAAGCCTCCCAAGCCCAAATTCTTTCATCATCTGATTGTGGGTTGGGCTTGAAACTGTGAATCTGATTTAGAAGATCTGTTAATGGACCTATTTCCCAATCATTAAGGTTTCTTCTGAAGGTAGGTCTCTGTTAAAATAATTTAGTTGTTGGTGTTAGGGTCTGTTTGGCTAGTTAAAGTGTTTTTTTTTTTTTATTTCGTTTTTTCACTTCTGTTATGTCTGTTATTGTACTCAGGGGCACAAGGGTCTTTTCCCTTGTTATTTCTGCCGCCCTATATATATTATAATAAAGGCTGGCGCCGCCAACAATGTTACATTGCAAATCCCTTCTCTTCTACTCTCTCTTCTCTCTTCTTCTTCTCTTCTCTTCTCTTCTCTTCCTCTTATTTCTGGCCGGCCATACTATCAAGATGGTATCATAGCGGGAATACTGACTAAAGAGAGCAGATCGAACAACCTTTACTGAGAGAACAGATCGAACAGACCTGCTGAACCTGGGTGGAACAGAGATTTGAATCTGGATTGAGGAAAACAGCTCTACAACTGGTACAGTTCTTCCGTTTTCTCTTCTTTACCCTTCTTGGTCGTGTACCAAGTGAAAACCAAATGAATTTGGGCTGCTGAATGCTGTCGGATCTGTATACCTCCGTTTTTTTGGATCGTGTGATCCTGTTCATGTGTTAAGACGACTGTAGGTCAAGGATGACCTGTCATCTCAATAATTTGACTTGATTATAAGTGATAAGGATCTCTCCTGCTGATTAATGGCTTTAGACAATCTGCCGAATATTGCCTCTGTTTTGTCCTGAATTTGGTACTGTTTGTGCTCAGCTTGTTTTTAAACCCAAGTGTATGGGTGTGGACTGAGTGGAGCATTGTTTTGTGGAGTAAGGAGGGGTCCTAAGTCTGGTGTTTGGGACTAATTATCTGTTTTGATCATGTCGTCTGAGAATTCTGCTACTTCAGAGATTTCAGGGAGCCACAATGGAGTGAGTGGGGGAATGGATATAAGTTTTCCCATGGCTGTTATTCCCTTTGATGGTCTGAACTACCTTGAGTGGTCTAGGGGAATAAAACTCTACATCACTGCTAGGGGGAAAATAGGATACATCAATGGGAGAGT